TGCTACCCATGAGACCCCAACATTTACAGAGAAACCCTTTATCTGAATTAATCTGATCTGTGTGCTAACTCTGCCAGGAACAGCTTCGACAGCAACATGCCCCACCCCTCTTATCCTCAAGGTCTGGCTCAAGTCCACTTGCTTGACCTTCATTGTCTAAATTCCTAAAACACTTGCTATGCCTCTCATATATTCTATCCATTTACATAGTCATTCACCCACTCAAAAATATCATGAGCAGGTACTAAACTTACTTACCACACTATAAAGGTAAATATGCTTTGACCACAATAATAGTTCCTTGAAGTCAAAGATCGCTACCATGCTAACACCTGTTAACTGATAGAACAGTGAGTTCAACCATTCATTACTTGTAGACTGTTTATGGATTTCGTTTTAAGAACTAACTATACTGACTAGAGAATTTTATTTAAATAGTGTATATAAATTTCTTCCTTTTAGGAACTTTCAGGCAAATTATCAATTACAGCACACAAGAAAAGTGCAGAATTGAGATAGTGGCATCCACAAAGCTTCATATATTAAAAGTTGGACACTGAGATACTGTAACTAACTCCCTTCAGTTCTTGTAACTCAAGTCAAAGGAACAAGCACAGCTTGTTTACTGTGAACTCCCCCTACAGTGTTATGTCTAAATGAGCCCTAAAACACTGCTTAAAAATAACTAGGAAGGCCAGATTCTGGGGAAAAGAAATACATAGAACATATAGAGGAATCTGTTTCCCTAAATTGGCTATTTAGTGTGAGTTGTGCTATTTCCTGCTTAAACTGATTTCCTGCAATTTGTTAAGAATGCCAAATACTTAGTGATATCAGTGATATACTGGACACAAACTGGCAAATCACAAAGAAATTTACAGAGAAACTTGCTAGTGGCCTCCTAATATCATCTCCTCCCTGGTCTTTCATACTGATTCCGGGACAGAGTGTCCTCAGCGTGAGGTGGAGTCAAACATGAGACGTCTGACCTCACTATAAGCCAGAAAAACTAAAGGATCGGGGTGGAAAGGAAGAAAACAATATTCGACATGAATTTTTAAAATCAAAAGATGCAAGATGTTAATGAAAAGGTAAGTTTATAGGTATGTGCAATGATATCCCCTTATGTCAGCCTTTTAAAAAAAATGTCCTAGTATAAAAGCAAACCAATACGGATGAGATAACACATTTCATAGCAAAGAATTTGAGGCAGCAAGGACACAGTTAATTTCTTTAGAGCACATTCATTTATTAAAGTGGCATTACAATCTGCTGCATGTCACATAGTATATTATTTTGCCTAACAGCTTTACATGCAAATACTTATTGCAACGAGTCATTGATCTAGTTCAAGGTTTGTGAAAAACAGTTTCAGTAAAGTCTTTAGAGGAACTCACTTTCTTACAGAACAAATTATATTCTCAAAACTATACATATGACAAAATTTACTTTCTATATACAAAAATCCTGGGACTCTCAGTCCATCAAATACGCTGCCCTATATTCACACATATGAATAGCCTAGGGCTCATAGGAATTACAGTCCTGTGAGGAATAAAGCATTTTAATAAATATTAAAAATTCAACTCACATTTAATATATAATTCGGTTGACACTGAGAAATGTAGAAAAGGCTGGTGACATTTTTATCAATATATTTTTATAGACTTGAAAAATTATTTCATAACACATCTATATTATAAATCTTAAGAAATCTATTATTGAGTACTAACAAAACCCCCAAATAAAACAAATGCATAAAAGAACATAAACTTTGAGGCTTTCTATTTTCATACACATCTTTTTTAAATTTTAGGAAGAATAAATCTTTGTTAATTTGCACATAGTCTAACTGCTTTCTTAACCTAAAGGAACATTTCAAAACAGCATGGCAAATCTTTGCTCTTTTCTTGGGTTGGGTTGGAATGGGTAAGGGAAATATTATATTCCAAGAACCTATGCTATTAGCCTCGTTGAGCCTTTCTCACATCAGGGTGCAGACTGAATCTGTACGGCACATGACGGCACACAGGTGTGCCCCAGCTACTCTGAGTCTAAGGAATTGATACCTCTAGTACACTGGTAACACACAGGTTAGGAAGCTGTGCCACAGACTGAGGTGAAAATAGTATAGCTCAGGGAAACGCTCCCTGATGTCGCCATTTACCCACAATCCGGGGATGTGGAAAAGGCAGGAAACAGGATTCACAAACACACAGGGCCATCTAGCTCCCTAACATCAGTTACCATATCATTAAAATCATCCAATGAAGTGCACGATGCCAAGCACTGATACAGTCTAGACTAGAGCTGTACAGCGATGATAAAAATGTCCTATGTCTGCGCTATCCAGTATGGCAGCCACTAGCCACATGTGGTTACTGAGCACTGAATGTGACTAGTGCAACTGAGGAGCTTTAATTTTAATTTAAATCTTAAGGCCACGTATGACTGGTGGCTCCCAGTTAGAGAGCGTAGCTCGATTGTGACCATCGAAGCACCAGGTGGCATGCAAAGCGTTCTCAGTGCCCAGGCTCGTCACGGACCGAAGAGTTCATCAGTCACGTCGAATGCAGAAAAGGGACGGGACGGGATCCTCAGTATGGCCAGAGTTCATCGCAATGCCAGTGTCAAGCTCTGCGGGCCATACTGTGAGCACTATTTATAGAAAGCCTCTCTACCCGCACCCATCTCTCAGAGGGTTGAAGAAGACAGCCCAAGAAGGAAAACGCTTTCTCTCCTTCAACTCACTCTTATCCGAGAGCCAACATGGGAAAAAGCTGGAAGAACCAACGGTCACTTATAGACAGAAGGTTCTTTCCCGAACTCAAGCAGAGCATCTCTGACAGGCAGCGCTTTCCCTCCACCTAGTTTCCCTCACATCCTTTCTACGAACGAAACAAGGTGTCTTTCAAATTATAATAAAACAGAGTGGTTAACAGCATTTTCTCTGCAGTCACTTGAATTCAACTATCACCTCCGTTACTTACCAGCTGTGTGACTGTGGGCAAGAGAACTAATCACCTCAAGTCTCGGTTTCCTTCTGCGTAAAATGGGGTAATAACAATACCTGCCTCGTAAGGTAAATAAGGACTAAACGAGACATATAAAGGACTTAGCAGATTATGTGGCACATAATAAACACTATTTAAGTATTATTTATCACTATATCTTCATTATTTCACCATCTTCTTCATCATCATCATCATCCTATCTCTTTAACAGGGTAGGTAAAAAAGAAATCTACCTAAAACAAATCATATTTAGATCAAACTCCGATTTTAAAAATATCTATATATTAAAGGATGACGTTGGAAAAGCAGAAAGAACCAGTCATGGTCTATCTTAGAGTCTAAGGAAAGCAGTTCAAATTATATTCTATGTACCACAGAAATCCGCCACTGGGACATGACACAAACTTTTCTTTTTTTTTTTTTTAATTGCTGAGGCTTCCATGTGCATGGCAAAGCGTAAGGAAGTAGGGAGTGGAAGCAGGGAGCCAGTTAAGAGGCTTCTGCAGAAGACAAGGTAAAAAGATGCTGGTTCTCTGGACTGGCACTGCAGCAGTGAAGAAAGACGTGAAAGAACATATCCAGACATGTTTTAGAGATGGACTTAACGAGAATGGCTAATGGCCTAATGCAAGGAATAAGGAAATAGGAGCACCAGCAAATCCCAGGTTTGGGGTTTGACTGCTTGTGCCTTTTACTGGGAAAGATGGAGAGCAGAAGCAACGCTGGAGAAGAAAAAGATCTGTTTTGGCTACATTCATTTGAAGATTTCTAAGTGGAGATTTTCATGTAGGCAGCTGTCTTAAGTCGAGTTTCAGGGAGAGATGAGGGCTGGAGACATAATTTTGGGAGTCACAGTGTCTACATAATGATTCAAAAGGTATAAAATTAGATGAGATTACTTAGCAGAAATCAGCACAGAAGAGGATTCTGAGGATGCAAGTATGACAGGAGAAAAACCAAGAGTACCGGCCAAAAGCCAGAGAAAGGGTTTCCAGCAGGGAGGGAGTGGCCACTTTCTAAAGTTAATGAACTATGGATACTTCTTGTGGCTCCTACTAAACAAGAAATTGCAAAAGGACAAGAACTATTTCTTATTTACTGGGTACCTTCTGCTCTAAACATACCAAAAGCTCAATCTGTGGCCACTGAGTTAATGTTTAGTAAGATCACAACTGCAGACGTGAATGGCATCTGGGCAGCATCTCATCTTTCTCAGTGTATTTCAGTCTGTAGCCAGATTTACCACACAATATCCTTTTCTAATAAACACAGAAAATTCTCATTGAGCCCGAAGTTAATCATACTGACTATTTTCTTATTGCTATTTCACCCATAAAAAGCATGTTCATTCATCAAATTGGGCAATGACAAGAACAGTGCCAGGCACATAGCCGGCACTTAGTAAATATTAGCTGGATGAATAAATGAAGTAGGTAGGAGAGAAGAAAGGAAAGAGAAATAGTCTCTTATCCTGCAGAATCCACAGATAAAATGAGGCTTAATAATTCTCTATAGATTTCATTTAACACCATAATTTCATCGATAATTAAAACTGTGAAGGAATAAACTGTTTATAATCTTAGAAGAAACAGAAAATCATTGCAGATCGGTCACAATTTAGAACCAGTAAATCAATATTTTCTAAGTTCAATGTTTTTTTTAATAAATATTTACTCCTCAATTTCTAATATCCCTATAAATAATCCACTTTACACAAAAAAGATATAAAGTAACCTTCTAAAACCTAACAGAAGATTTAGGAGCTAGATGAGAAAAAGAATTTCCAAAGACTGTTTGAAAGGACATTAATTCTAATTTTAGTGCGAAACGTATTAAAAGAAACCCTGATCCTAATTTCTAACATTCCCTATAAAAAGTCAAACATCCTAATATCAAAAGATAGACGTGCAGAGGAACTTGACTATCGAGTGAATTTTTACCACTTATATTTCCACTAAAAAATCTAAAATTAAAATTCTGAAATACCTGAGGCACCATAAGCACCAGAATACCGCTGAGACTTCGAGCCAGATGGAGAGGTTTCCTTCATACGATCAATCACATTTTCTGAAAGCTGAAAAAGCAACACCAAAATATAATCAATTATAAAGAACAAGAAAACAGTGCAATAGCATCCAAGTAATTTAATCATCCATATCAACATGTATAACAAATGGCCTAAAGAAATTAGGCTAAATCTAATAGCTAAAACACTAAAAACGAGTACGAACATCTTTGAGATTTCAAGATGCACCCCTCAGCACTACTCCTTTATTTCTTCTAATGCTCTAATTGCTCATTATAAATAACTCTTCTCCTCATTTTATACTGTGCACTAAATTGTAATCTCTGAGAAAATGTAAGCCATCAGAACTCCTTCGACTTTCCTCCGCTAATTCTACAAATTAATTCATGCATGCAACAGGCCTTAGCTCCTTCCTTCCTTCCAGTCTCAAAGGAAATGGTATCCCACCCTCCCTCAAGACTAACCACAATCAGTCCTTCAACAGATTTTATTATATACCAACTACGTGCCAGGAAGTAGGCTAGACTTCAGGTATTCAACAATCGTCACGTTGCTTACAGTGGAGTAGAAGAAACTGACAATCCTCAGGCATTTAAATATAATGCGAAGGGCACTACTCACGTCAGGTGCCCCTTCTTCAACGGATGAAGTGCACAGAAAGCATAACAGGCAGGGCACCTAGCTTGGCTTCGGGAGTGGGGCTGGGCACGGGGCTGGGAAGGATGAACGGAAGTTAGGAAGAGTAGGACCAGAGTATTCCAAAAAGGACATGCGTGAAGAAAGAGATGAGAAACAGGCCTTGCCACTATTAAATAGATACCAAGAGAGAGAACAAGTAAGCAGTTGGCAATAGGGCAGAGGCTCTGAGGAAATACTTAGGTCTGGAGATTAAGAGTTATCAGTCCCACAATTCTATCATATCATCCTTTTTTCTTTTCTTTATAGCCCTTACCACTCACTATCTGATGCTTTCTTGTCTACTGTCTCCCTTTCACACTAGAAAGAAAGCTCCATGAAAGCAAGGATGCGGCTGTCCTGTCTACAATTATATCCCCAGAGCCTCAATAAGCCTGGTTAGTTGAATGAAGGGTTAAATAAATGAAAGAAATGATATGAAAGAATAAAAGAATGGCAGAAGTAGGAAGCTGGAGAGGAGGCTTAGTGCAAGAGAAGGTGGGGAGAGAAATAAAGACTTTAGATTTTGAGTACTCTTAGTAAGCCCTTCCAAATTAAGGAGTTTGAACTTGATCCTGGGCACTACTGATGGATTTTAAGCACGGTAATAACACAATCCAACTTACTTTTTAAAAAAGTCACTCTAGTTACAGTATATAGAACAGACTGAAGGAGGACGGACAAGCACAGAAGCAGGAGGACCCCGAAGGAAGCTAAAGGACCAATTAAGAAGCCATTAAGCATATGTCCACACAAATGTGCACAGGAATGTTCACAGCGGCATTATTCGTAATAGCAAGAGTGGAAACAAACTAATGTCCATCTACTGGTGAATGGATAAACAAATATTATATACCCATACCATGGAATACAATTCGGCAAGAGAAAGAAATGAAGTTCTGATATATGGTACAACATATATAAACCTAAAAAGCAATTAAAGTGAAGGAAGCCAGACAAAAAAAAAAGGCCTCATATTGTATAATCCCATTTATATGAACTGCCCAGAAAAGGCAACTCTATCTAGACAAGAAGTAGATGATAAGTGGTTGCCCAGGGTCTGGGTGGGAGTGGGGATTAACTGTAAGTGGTCATGAGAGCTTACCTGGGTGATGAAAATGCTCTCAAACTGGATTGTGGTGATGGCTGCACAACTTAGTAAATTTATTAGAAAGTGTTGTATACAGAAAACAGATGAATTTTATGTATGTAAATTATACCACAATAAACCTGTCCTAAAAAATCTATTACAGAAATACAGGGAGAACACATCCAAAAGATACTTAGGATTCAACACAGCTACCAATCACTGAGTGCTTATTACATGCCAGGCACTGCACTACACTAAACACTTTACTCATTTAAACCCTTAACAATCTGTAGATACTTTTATTATCTCCACGCATAGGAGAGGAACCCGAAGCACAGCCGGACTGAATACCTCGCCTTGAGTTTCGCAGTTTATCAGTAATGAAGCCAGGATTCAAACCCAGAAAGTCCAAGTCTCAAGGTCACACTCAGGCACCCCCTTTCATGCCAGACTCAGTGTCTGACCAGATGTGGGGGTGAAGCAGAAGTCATCAAGAAGGACGTCCAGGTTTCAGGGTCGAGTAACTGGGTGACCCACCTCCTGAATCCTCAAGGACCGTCTTCCAATTTCCTCTTAACTTACCAATATCAGGCTTGTAACCCAATACAGCAGCCAAAGTGTTCTGGTAAAGGTCACCAATGACCGTGTTAATAAACTTTTGTTTACATTTATATAGATAATTATCTTTTATATTTATGTTTATAAAGAACCTAATTTATGTGGATTTCCCTTAATATCTAACACCTGTGGTCACTCTTCTCTTCTAGAAACCGCTCCCTGGGCTTCCTGACATCCCACTGTCCCAGTTGTCCTCGGACTCGGCCACATGTCATCTCTTTTGCAGGCATCCTCTCCCTGGCCTACTCTTAAATGCAAGAGGGCCCCCCATTCTGTTCTTTGTCTTTACTTTCTTCTCACTCTAATGCTCTTGTTGGTGCTCCCATCCACTCCCTTGATTTTTAACTGCTGTTAATAATGAATTTTAAATCCATTATCTCCAGCCCAAGACCTGTATCCCAAAAGGCAAACCTGTACATTAAACTGCCTAATGGACACCTCCCCTTCAGACCACAAGCACCTCAAACCAAACATGTCCCAAATAAAATTCATGTTTCCTAAAAATCTCTTCTTCCTCTTGCCTGCCTTATCTCATTAAGGACACCATTTCCATCCAGTTTCCTAAATCGAAACATAGCACAGTCCTCGATTCCTCTCTCCCTCGTTCTCTTAGCCATGACTTCTTCAACCCCTAAATATTTATTGAATCCATCATCTCTTCTCCCTACTCACTTCCCCTGTCCAAATTCATGGCACCACCAATAATCCTTCTAAAATGCAAATCTGATTACATTTTTCTCTGCTTCAAAACCTTCAATCGTTATCTTCTGCTGGGAATGTCCAAATTCCTTTGCCTGGCATTCAAGACTTCCTCATCATCTGGTTATAGCCTAACACACCAACCTCAACTTCCATAGCTTTCTCCTTAATACTTCATGCCCTGTTCTCGAGCCACACCCGCTACTTGTTTGCTGCCATCTCTATGCCTTTGCCCACGCCCGCGTTGCCTTCTCCCCTGGCCCACTGGGAGGGAATCACCTTTCAAAATCCAGTTCAAATATCCTAACGCCTTCTCTCACCAAACCAGCTCGCCATTCCATCCCAACTCTGCCCACCTAAAGGTACCTTCCTTGTGCCCCACTGCACCTTGCACGCATCTCCAATATGGCGCTCCAGTGGCAGAACAAGTAGTTGCCTTTCTGCCTTTCCACAAAATTGTGAGTTCCTATATATTCATGAGTCATTCATTCGAAAAATACTTACTAGGCCCTTGGGATATATCAGTGAACAAAACAGTTGGCACATCTCAGGATGAACAGTTACCTGTATCTCAAGACCCAAACTAGAATGGAGGGAGGTGAGACAGTCAAGGGAAAGATCGCAGCTCAATAGTTGGGATTTGAAGGAAAAATCCATGACTCTTTTCTTGGCAGAGAAATGGAGCTTAAAAAGGAGAGTGCCGAGAGACGACCTGAAAACGCCAGGGCCAGGTGCCCCTTCTTCAACGGACAGCCACTGACACTGCTGCTGAAACTCATCTACGAAGCTGAGATACAGCTTAGGGAAAACCCTTTAAGGCTGACTCGATCCTCTCCATTTACAGGTGAGAAAAAGAGATCCTAAGTAATGTCGTTACTGATAACACCAGGACCACCAGCAGTAACCCCCGACCTCTAGCTCTGTGCTTTCTCCATACTAAGCAATACACTCCTTCAATCCCACTTCAGAAAATAAAAATGGCATCACTTCCTCTTGAGATAAAATGAGCCTTATTAAGTTTTAGACTCTTAAAGATATTTTAATTGCTATATAATATATAAAAAGTTCATTCACTATATACATATTTATATACCATAGTAATATAGCTATATTTTATGTTAACATATCACATATACTATGTATTATACACTATGCATGTTACATATCTAATTTTTGTTTAAAGCTAATACGCATAAAGCTAATTTGACAAATATTATTTTATATTTTAATTTATATTTCTGTATTTCAGGCCAAAGTCACCGAACTACATTATTACACACACACACACACACACACACACACACACACACACACACACACACACACACTTAACCTAATCAGAAGTGAATGTGTTTGCTAATAATCTTTCACCTGTACTGGAGACAATCCACTTACTTCTAAATACCACTTCATCTACTTCTCACCCAAATTCATGCCTTGTCATTATCTACTGCTACTTTCAAAATGAATACTACAAAAAGCCATTCTTATCCCTAAATCAGTCTCAAGAGTAAGTTACTTTTACTCCTTAAAACAAAAAGCTGTCCCAGAATAGAGGAAAAAGCACTGGCCACCTACTAGCTTTTTAATCTTAGGGAAGTCACCTCGAGGACCTCACTTTCCTCATCTGAAAACAAAGTAATACCTACCCCTGGACTTATAGGAAGGATTATAGGTGCGCTGAGAACTGTAACGTGCGACACAAATATTTGGCAGAATTACTACTAACACAGCTCCAGCCATTGGGACTTCAACTGATAGTTCATCTTGGCTCACTCTCATCAGCTCAGCCCGAGTCTGTACTGATCTTCTTCCTGTACATGCTGCGTGAAGACAGACCTACAGCCATCGCCAGGAACAGCTGCATAAGTCCTGATAGGAGAATGTGAGTTGCTCATTTATTCCTATCTATATTCTGCAGGTAGTAAAAGCGCAAAGTCTCTTTCAACCTAATCACTAATTGTTT